TTGTCATAATGTTTAAAAACCTATCTCTGCGCATATGTTAAACTCGTTATACAACTATCCACATTTAAATCGTTCGTCATGTTTTGATATTAGATTACATAAAAGCCTTAATAAATAATATGTAAATCACCGAGCCACCTGCAAGAAATAAAAAGTATCTATAAAAAATGTACAAACATGTGCATTAATTTCAAAAAAAAAATCCAGACAGTTGTAAAAGTTGAACTGTGAAAAAAGTATATTTACTTTTTTTTTGGCGGATTTAAAATATCCCCCTTTCGCCACATTTTTGCCCTTGGGAGATCTTAGCATCATTATTTTTTTTTCTTAATACTTATAAGTGCATATAATGAACAATTGCATTTTTTTAAATTATCTTTCACTGCTTAATAGCACATTAAGATTGTAATTTAGTATAACTATTCTCATGGTTGAATACATAAGCGGCGTAACAAATTTGAATTTGAGGACATCATATTTGCTGTAACTATTGAAATCAAAACTTAAACAGCAACATTCCCTGATAATTATACACAAGTTTCTTTTCTACATTCAAAGAGACACTTCGCTACCAGGTTGAAAAAAAATTGGAAGGGGGGTACGTGTCCCCAGTTTTGCCTCTGTTCCGCCGCCTATGGATGAATGCTGAATTTGAGCATGGTATTCATACCCCAAAAAAGTTAATTAAGCCAGTTGCATATTTTGCAAAATATTGTTCACGAGCAACATCACGTCAGGCCGAACAACTTAGTAAGGAAACTGATGAATCACTATTACACTTTCTATTCATAATTACCGTTACCCCCCCTCTTCTAATAATTACCGTTACCCTACCTAATTCACTGCCTAAACGTTCATTGGAAAACAATATATATACATATATACTATTATTCTTTTATAATCGCGCACATATACATAAACTTATGCCCTACAAAAATATAAGCATTTCTAATGATCCAGACTATTCTGGTAAATGTAAGTTATTTTCTACACACGTATATTAGACTGTTGAAAGTATGCTTTCGCATTAGAAGATCCACAACTTCTCCTACCTTTTTACGCCCCCCAGTGGTATGTCTGCGGACTTACAACGCTAGAATACGGGTTTCGATACCCGTTGTGGGCAGAGCACAGATAGCCCATTGTGTAGCTTTGTGCTTAATTCCAAACAAATAAACGTACTTTTTTACATATATACATTAGTCCGTTTAAAGCACTAGCTGAAACGCCGCCTATGGGCAGCTGTTCGTGCCAATAATTAATAATCGTAGTATTCATACCTTATTGTAAAAGATTGTAAAAAAAGTGAAGATTTTCTTAAAAAAACATTTTTTTCTCTGGGAAGTACTGCACGGGAACAATTTTGGCTTGTGTTCTTTAGTCGTACGCATCAAAATAATTCAATGTACAAAGCTTAACATTTTCATAAATGTTACTGATATAAATTGTAATGTTTTTATGTATTAAAAGTGCTACCATTTATTGAAAAAAATGATAGTTTTCTTGAATTAAGAACTTAAGTTTTTTAGTACTGCAGTTAAATATTACACCAATAATCCTCACGCAGAGTCCCAGTGAAAGTAGTGTTCTTGTTGTGAGGTGAGTAGTTTATTTAAAAACTCTGTTCTGTTACAAAAAAAATGGTTGTTGCACATACCATAGTTGTTTTTCTAATCGTCTGAATTTTGAATACTCAAAGTGTAAAATGTTTTATTGACGTGTTTTTGTGGTGCAATTCATAAGCTTCAATCACCACTTCTGGCATTGCGATTTTGCTGTATTTTGGCACAACAGATGACTCCATTGTATATATATATATATATATATATATATCATTTCGATCGCATACATAGATAGATATATAAATGGTCACGCTATTGCTCCATTATTGTGAGATATAGTAAGATGTTTTTGTATTAAAAGGCCCACATCGTCCCCTAGAACTTAATTCGAAGCAGTAAATTATAAAGGATTGTTTGTTTGTGTTGAATTTCGCGCAAAGCTACACGAGGGCTATCTGCGCTAGACATCCCTAATTTAGCAATGTAAGACTAGAGGGAAGGCAGCTAGCCATCACCATCCACCGCCAACTCTTGGGCTACTCTTTTACCAACAAATAGTGGGATTGACCGTCACACTATAACGTCCTAAACACCTGGCCATGCCGGGCCATAAATTATAAAGTCTATTGAGAATAATCGTTAAAAAATCTTTTACATGAGAAAAAACAAAGAATCTTGATATATATAACGTAAGAGGATAAAAATTAGAGGAACAAGCTGAAAGATTCTTACTAATAGGAAAACAGCAACACTAGTGATTCAGAATTTGTGCTAAAGGTATTATATGTTATGGTATTCTATTATTTTCGATAGATGAAATGCAAGAAAAAATCTGATACAGAAAAAATAACGTTTATCTATGTTCGGTTTATTTGTTTGTTTGTTCTAGAGCAAAGCCACATTGGGCTATGTGCTGTGTCTGCCGCGGAGAATCGAGCCCCGGATTTTAGCATTGTAAGTCCCTAGACTTACCGCTCTCCCATCGGGTGACATTTGTTTTTGGATGTTTGGATGAGTTGTATGCACTAATCTTTTTTAATTTTAAACTTATAGGTTAGAGGGAAAGTAATAGTCAACAACACCAGCCACTAATTCTTGGGATACTCCTGTCTGAGATAATAGTGGGATTTGACCGTCACTAGTATAACGCACCCATGGCTCCAAATTATATCCACAGTCTGGTGCACTAGCCACTAGGCCACGCTTGGCAAACAAAGAGTAAACCTTTACATTGATTATTTTTTTATGTGCTCAGAAGTTTGCTCCATCTGTAAATAAATGAAAATACATCCTATATCAAATCACGTTTTGTGTGATCATGAATTTGTGAATTTCTTTGTTCACGAACTCTTCCCACAATTTTCAAGCCAGCAGGACCAAATGTGGCGAACGGACTCAGAGTGGCCATTGAGGTATCTTTATCTATATGTCGTAGCCCCCTCCCAAGAAGCTATCTAAGCATAATGAAGGTATGGGAATAGGTTTTAAGGGTTGCTGAACCCCCAATCTGATCTCAAATTTTGTGTTGTTGGCCTCCTTCGGGATCCCGGGGGTGTTACGTTTCAGATAGTGGTAACCGTGCTCAGGGTTCCTAAGTTTTTTTCCGAGGGTTCCGTGAAGTAGTTACAGTTTTGTATTTGTGGCAAAGATACTAAGGCTAACTGCCGCCATCCTTAATTTTGAACTGCTGAACAGAGGGAAGACAGCCAATAAACAACATCCTACCATCCGCCAGAGATTGACTGTTATGGTTACAACGCACTCCCAGCCTAAAGTGAGGGAAATGTTTTGTGGTACCTGGTTTGCCAGATCCGAAAGCCAGAGCTAAACCTCAGTTCCACCCCGGATGTTAAAAATAATATAAATTAATACCTTTAACTGTTACCATGCTAAACTATGGTAGTTTGCCAAGAAAATGAACCAATAGACCTGAGATTCGTAATAAATATCACATTCGACTTTAATTGTTTTTACAGATTCATTTTAATTACTCTATTGCGAATGTTGGACCTGTACATCTAAATGTTTCTGAATATTATCTAGATTTGCTTTTATTGTTAACTTTTGACTTCTAGTTTGCATCTCTCAGAAGTAAATATGGAGGAAAAGCGAAACAAATCCAGCTTCACTACAAACAGTGAAAATCCTAAAGTTAAAAACATTAAAGTATCTCGCGCTCAACGGGTTTGGAACATTGTGACTGGTCTGACTATCGAACCTTTCCTGATTTTGTTCATGTTCGGACAATCAATGCGCATGGTCACTCTACAGAACTTACTGCTGGACAAATCTTGTTTACAATTCTTCAACTTTTCTGATGACGTGTGTGCCAATCTAAGTCTCCATAACTATACCCAAGAGAAAGACCAGGTACTGATAGTTGCTAATAACTACAACCTTTATGACATCCTGATTTCTTCCGGTCCGGCAATATTGTTGTCCGTGGTTGTTGGTCCTTGGAGTGACAAGCACGGACGAAAACTTCCGCTGATCGTCGCTGCTTCTGGAACAGCGCTAGATCACTTCAGCTGTCTATTAAACGTGATTTACTTCGATGCACCAGTTCTTTACGTGGTACTATCGTCCATACCATCAGGTTTTACTGGCAGTATGGTCATCATCATGAGTTCCGTGTTTAGCTATATCTCGGACAACACAAGCGAAGAAGATCGGACAGTGAGATTTTTCATATTACAAACGTGTTTAATTTTGGCCGGACCGGCTGGCACAGCGACCGGTGGCCAGCTCTTTGAGAAGTTTGGTTACAAAAGTGTTTTCTCCGCTTCTCTAGGATTTACTCTTGTTGCAATCGCTCTTCTTATATTCCAAGTGAAAGAAAATCCCAAATACGAACACCGGCCGAGCGCGAAAGCTCTAGTGAAAGATTTATTCTCCTTTGGAAACTTCAAAGAAAGCATCCGTGCATTCTTTAGACAACGTGAAGATCATAAGAGACTGAAGCTGTTTCTGCTTAGTGGTTGTACACTGTAGTGTCATGGTGGGATCTGTGGGTAAGTTAAGTTAGTGGTTGTACACTGTAGTGTCATGGTGGGATCTGTGGGTAAGTTATGTTAGTGGTTGTATACTGTAGTGTCATGGTGGGATCTGTGGGTAAGTTAAGTTAGTGGTTGTACACTGTAGTGTCATGGTGGGATCTGTGGGTAAGTTAAGTTATCTTAGTATGATGGAAAACTGAGCGAGAAGAGGATTCAATTCAAACAAAATATCAAAAAAGAACCATACACAGAATATTATAAATGAAAAGAAAATGTAGAAGTTTTGACCAATTTCCAGTATAGTCTCATATATCAGTGGTTCCCAGAATCTTTTAGTCTGAAGCTCCCTTGATGTGAGTAATAAAGTTTGAGCCCCCTAACTTATAAAAATGACTTAAAATGTGATTTTAAAATGCCCCCCCCCACTACTTTAGCATGGTGATTGAAAACAGTGCCGTAATAAAAACAATAACATCTACTTTCGACATACTGTATCATTTAATTAATTCAACATAATTTTTATCGACTTATTGTTTATTTAGAATATAAATGAATTCAGCATCTTTGCTTTCGGGGCATTTTTGGCGGCCCCCAGAAAAAGCTTCACGGCCCTAACTTTTGGAAGCACTGTGATATATGACAGTGTTTAACATTTATAATAAATACCCATGTTATTCTTTCCAAAACTAGGTTGTCTTTAACTTGATAGTCTGCTCTTCTCTTAAGCCATCTTCAGTTATGGAATTATTTTTAATATATAAAATTTAGTATGGTCTCAACTCAAACTTGTAATTTATTATGTAATACTGACATAAAATTATTATTTTTACTTATGATCCAACATTGATCAGCCTAAGAATAGCACAATAATCTGTGGTATAAAGTTACTTGAAGGTCCTTACATAATACGAAATTATCAAATTATCTAATTTATCGCATCATTTTGACATAAAATTAATTTTTTACACAGTTTTCGCTACTTAAGATAAACTGTTAAAGTAATGTGTAGTAAAAAGCTGTTTGAAGGACTTTACAAAATTTAAGTTTTTGTCAACTTATCTAATATATTCAATTATATTCACTCTGTGATATTATTTTGTAGCTTAAAACGTTAAAGATTTCATTAATTATTAGTATTTTTAACGATAATCAATCGGGTTTTAAGCCCCAAAGCTGGAAAAGGTTTTCTAAATTTCATACTTTTTTAACCCAGGGTTTTGATATCCAAGTCAATAATCTGTTTGTTCTGACTAACTGTTTATTATTATTATTATTATTACAGGGGTGATGATGATAGGATACTTATACGTCCGAAAGCGTTACAATTGGGAAGTAGGCCAATACTCAAATGTACAAGCAGGGTTTAGTGTAGCTAGTATGCTAGTTATGCTTCCCGTCATCCATACATTGACCAAAATTTTTAAAGTCAGAGACCCATGGCTTGGAACTATGGGTGCGGCTTCTCAACTTGCAGAAAATGTTCTTCGAGGTCTTGCAGAAAATGAGTGGATCTACTATTTATGTAAGTGTATTCCCTCTTGTAGTCGCAAAGATTTTTTGGTAAATGAATGTTTTACAGTTCGAAAATATGTAACAAAAGTGAAACCTTTTGTAACATAGAAATTGGAATGTACCAAACTTTTCCATTTAAAACTTAAAAACAGTTCAACAAGTTTCACGTACACAAATATATACATTATATTAAATATTTCAGACATCAGCAACTTAAACCTGTATTGCACGTATTGAGTCTTTGTGATCCACGACATCTTATCTATGTGTTTAAGACCATCTTCCATCTTTTCTAACACAATAACCGTTGATCTTATAAATGCTTTCAGACAAATACTAGTGAATTACAACAGTATATTCTAAATTAAAACTCTTTTCTGCTGAAATATAACTAGATAGTTGTTTCAGGAGCAATGTCTCCTGGTGAGTCAGCGGTAAATTTACGGAATTATAAGCTAAAATCCGGGGTTAGATTTCCCGCAGTGGATAGAACAAATGTAATCTATTGTCTACGTTTCCACTAAAAATACAAAAAAGCCACAATTCTACGAGCAATATGCGTGTAAATCAAATTGATAGTTTAGTTACTGATAAGTACTGTAGACATGGAGTCAAAGTAGAGATTTGTAGCTTGAAAAAATAATATAGACACCATTTCCAGTGTAGTTTGTTTACTTTTTTTAAGATTCCCTAGTTGTAGGCTTGAAAATATAATCTTTGCATTTTGATTCAACTTGTTTCTTTACTTTTTTGACGATTCCTATTCCCCTTTTTAAATCAAAAAAATTTACTTCTCTTGTGTTTAATATCACAGGCTTGAGTAATTGGAGTTTTCACTGACTTAAGTGGTTATAACTTTCACTGACTTGATTTGTTGGAACTTTCACAGACTTAAGTGGTTAGAACTTTCACTGACTTGATTTGTTGGAACTTTCACTGACTTGAGTGATTGGAACTTTCACAGTCTTGAGAGGTTGAAGCTTTCACTGACTTGAGAAGTTGAAGCTTTCACAGGCTTTCACTTAAACATAAAGTAACAGTTATCATTCTTTATTTATATCTACATAGAAATACATAGTATTATCCATTCACAAAAGATATGTAATTAATTTTTTTTATTTCGGAATGTTTGCAAGAACACAATTTATATACCATAAACGTCATTTATGACGTCATCATATTAGTTCTGTAAATATAAATATATGTTTTATAAAGTGGAATAACTAACGTTAAAATTAAAGGAAAAGAAAAATATGAAAGAACAACAATACTTAGAAAGTTTTAACTGTTTTACAGCCTATGTGGTTGGAATTCCAGCTCCCACAGCGACTATAGCAGTACGATCACAGCTATCTAAGATGGTAAGAAGAGACGAAATTGGTAAGTAGGAATTAACAGAAGATGGAGGACATTATAGTAAGCAAGCACAGAAATGTTTAGTGAAGAGTGTGAGGGAAAACGAAATTGGTAAGTAGATATTATCAGAAGGAGGTACTATAGGTAGCAAGTATAGAAATGTTTAGTGAAGAGCGTGAGGAGAAACGAAATTGGTAAGAAACGATTATCAGAAGAAAAAGGGCGCCATAGATGGACAAATGTAGAAGAATGAAGCTGTAAGTGACGGAAATTCACTGAATTGAAATATTGTTTCCATATGTTATTCATCAAAAAAAGTGGGAAATACCATAATAATCTTATTATCAACTTTACGTTTTATTTACCTTTTTGTTTTCATAACACTAAAACTTATAATTATAATAACTAATTCTAAACAGATTTGTTTCTAATCTAATAACAACTGCAAGCTTTCTTTCATCAACTGGAACACGGAGCAAGTAGCCACATATCGTAACATAAGATATTTTTACACACTGTTTATCAGCAGCTTTTCATCAAAACAAGATAACTCTATAAGTCAGAATTAAAAATTAATCCACCAAATAATGTAAATAATTATTTATTCTGGTCTAACTAGAAGTATGCAACGTCATAATTAAAACTTATAATAATTGGAATGTACCGATTCATCATTTGAGTGATCTGTTGCTATCGACGTTTTTGGCCATAATACCAATAATATCTTACGAAGTTTGATCAACTTAGGAGGTTTAGGCTTGTCTTAAATCCATATACTAAGTCCACAATGCTAAAGAATCTTCATAATAATATAAATATAGAGGAGAAAATTCACGAATGTAAATACAATATATATATACCTTGAACATTAACGAATGTTTTTCGCGAAGCTAAAAATACATAAAAACTGTTGTTGTTTTGTTTCATACACCATCATTGATTCCCTGGACATTGAAAAGCATCTTTGAGTGAAGGACACTGAAGTTTATCTGTGTTTTTTTTTTTTTTTGTTCTCTGTCACATAACTTCATTCTTTACGTTTGGTTTTCCAGATATCTTTGTTTCTATTCTTTTGTTATTTCTAAACTTTAAAACACCTTCATCTTTAACTTTATGTTATTTTTCAACTTTAAAGCACCTTCATTTCTATCTTTATATTTTCTTTCTCAGGTAAAATCTTCGCAGTCGTTGCCACAGTTGAATCTTTTCTTCCGATGGGTGGAAGCATCTTTTACAATCTATTTTACAGACTGGGCTTGGAGACGTATGTTGGAATACCGTTTTTCGCCGCAGCAGGATGGTTAGCCTTTCCTCTGGTCACCTTTATGTAAGTAATATTCCGTATTTCCGCCTTTATCTACTTTCTGTGCATCAGATGGCATACCATTTAAAACTGTAGCCAGAACTTCGTTATTTTTGTCTCTGCTTAGCCTTATCAGAAGAAGAATATTCCTACTGGTAGAGGGAGAACTAAAAACACACAGTAGAGGTCAAAATGACGGATAGTTACAATTCAACTCGACGATATGGCGAGAATGGTGAAAAATGCTAGATTTGTTCTAGCTTTGAGTGAAATATTTATCCCTCTATGGATGATGACCACAGAAATACATTAAAAATAAGAACTTTCGAGGTAAATTGTTAGTGTTTAACCTACGAATTATTTGTTATTGTGCTTATTTATGCATAATTATTGCAATATTAATAATGAATATACAGTACATTTCTCTTCACATTTGTTACAATGGTACACGACAGTGGGAGTAGTCATACTTCTTCAAACTGAGAAGAAAAGAGGGCAGAGTATTCCAGTACAGAAAGAATAAAACAAACAGTAGACTTCTCTTTGTCTCAATAACAATTTTAGTATCAAATTACGGGGGTTCAAAAATTTTACATTTGTACCACAGGTAATGGACAAAAAAACGGAAACACCTGGGTAAATGAGAAACAAAAAGTATACACAATACAGGTGTGGCTCATCCATTAATTAAGTAAATAACATTCCAGCACGCATAGGGTCATGTTTAAAAATGCTGGACAGGCCTGGTTGCATATAATCACGGATAACATGGCTACAAGAGGAGACCTCAGTGACTTTGAAAGAGGGGAGATTGTTGGGGCGCGTTGGGCGAGAGTTTCAGTGACCAAGACAGCTCAACTTGCTGATGTTTCAAGAAAACAGTGTTTAAGATGATGTCAGCATGGAACTCCGAGGGAAAGACATCATTATCAAAGGGCTACAGTGGGCGAAAGCGCATACTCCAGGATTGTGATGTCCGTGCATTAATTCGAACTGAAAAGCAATACAGGTGAGCAACCGCAAATCAATTGACCGCAAATTTCAACCTGGGGCGAGAGCAGCTAGTTTCATCAAAAACGGTCTGCCGAGAACTCCACAGAATGAGATATCATAGTCGGGTTGCAGTGCTCAAACTGCTCATCACGCCTGGGAATGCACGGTTGCAGTGGTGTAAAGGGCACGGGATATGGACTGCCATGCAGTGGATAAATGTGATATGGTCAGATGAAGCATCCTTCACCATGTTCTCGAAAAATGGACGAGTGCACCTGTGGCGCCAACCTAAAGAACCTTACAGCCCTGTAATGGTGTTTGGGCATTTCCCTGGCATGGTTTGGGTGCACTTCTACCCTTAGAAGATAAGGTCCATGCCAATCGTTACTTAATGGTACTGAGTGACCATCTTCACCCCATGTTACAGCATTTCTGTTCTGTTCAAGATGACAATGACCCCGTCCACAGAGCACGAGTAGTCGCCCAGTGGTTTGAGGGTCATGATAGTGACGTTATCAATATATCATGACCTTCTCAGCTACCAGATCTGAACCCAATCGAGCATGTATGGGGTATTCTGGAACGACGCTTGAAACAGCGTTTTCCACTTTCATCAACTAGGCGTGAGTTGATTGACTTTCTTGTGAAAGAGTGGTGTCGCATTCCTCCTGCAGAATTCCAGACGCTGGTAGACTCTATGCCACGGCGCGTACAGGCCATACTGTAAGGGACTTTAGATTGGTGTTTCCATTTTTTTGCCATTATCTGTATACAATTTTATATATAATATTAAATATTCGAAAAACAATTGTTTTAAAGTAGATACATTTCTATTTAAAATTTAATTTGCAAAAATAGTTGTTAATACAACAAATGTCTATTTTACTGACAAGAAAACAATCGACTATTGACACTCCAAGTCCCAACTTTGACACGCGTTATTCGCTTTTATTTGGCTTAAAATAAGCGAAACTTCATGGAGTACATTCAACCTATGAAAAATACCTTTACTTCTAAGTGTTAGTGTCTGTAATTTTGTAAAAAAAAACATGACGTGAGAATAAACAATTTGTTACTCAGATCATCTAACTGAGTTAATTTGTGGTTAAAACTAGGCGCTAATATGACGATTTAATCTTAATTCAGAGTAGTTTAACTGTATAGATAACGTTGTAGGTTAATTTCATTTGACCAATACCTTCTTATTTTATTCATTTACTTAGATATCTTGTGATATTTCCTGACAAAACTTCCTCTGCTGTTGACGATCCAAGAAATGTTAATGGTGACCGCGAAGAAAAGACGGAGAGTAGTGACGTTGAAGGAGTAAAGTTATAAATTGTTTCATAAAACATTTTCTTATGTGTAAGCACTGTGGTCATGCGCAGTAAGAAAATACTTCTTTATAAGAAATATTTTAAACTCAGGACCAAAGATCTGTGTTAGATTTTAGTTTTTGTTATTATTCGTCAATTTTCTTTTACATTTTACTATATGAGTATTCTTTTATGTTCTGAGAGAAAAGTATTTTACACTAAATAATTTATTAAAAGTACTAATTTTATTAATAAAATTTAGTTTAAAAATAAAACAGTCACATTTATATCGTGTCACTATAAACACAAGATGAATTAGTTTTTATATTTCACGTAAATTTACATTTGCCATATTGGAACTTTAAATGATCCAACAAAGTTAGATATGGCAAATACAGTGTGGTTGGAATACAATTAATATACATTCTTCTAATTCTTGAAAATACCTAAGGAATAAATAAAGAATGTAGTGTTTAAAAATTTAATTGATTTAATAGTCATATTAGATGAATACTGTTGATAGTAACCTTTAAGCAAAATCTGTTTACATTCATTGTTGTCTTTTATAACGTTATTCTAAAAATATGAAACTAATCATTAAGTGATTCTAGTGTTAACAGGCTTTAGAAAATGGTGGCAAGTACTTTTAGGAATAGTGTGTAGTTAGTATATTATAACTCTTCCAGAATATCCAGTTACACTGAAAGGATACTAACCTATCTCCCGATTAGTACTAGTTCATATGTAACCACATCAGAAGCAGTAGTTAAGATGCTACCCTGGGGTCGGAAGTAAACACTTATACACATTTATGTGACGAAAGCATTGACCTAATATATATCTCGTCCATATGGATATGTTATGAACACAGAGGGTATGTTGCTATATTCACGTTGCTAGGTGGTATAATATGATTACATCATCAACACCAGTGAGCACAAAATCTGTAAAATAAGTGTGATAAAAATACATATCTGTTCTTTCACATTTTATAAATTCAACATGTTTACTGTCTATCATTACAAAATATACTTTACAATTAGACAATTAAACGTGCTATGAAATCTTTAAAAAAGGCATGGTGCCTAAACATGTACCACCCAAGGGCATGGCCAAATTTTGGTAAGGTAGCATGAATCAATCATATATAATTATGGTAGGTAATGGCAGGTTCTCACAATGTGATGCACTGCCCGAGGGCATGACCTAATTTTGACAAGGTAAAATTTATAATTATAGTGTGTAATGACGTGACGCCAGATAATTATAGAATGAAAACTGGGACACGTTGTTGTCAGTAATGGATAGGCATAGTTTTAAAAAAGAACAATTGTGTAAGAATGTCCTAAAAATGAAAACTTAAGTGTTTTATAAAGAATAACTTGAGACAAGTAAAAGTGCTACAAAATACCTTGAAAATCTATTTACATCAGACGACGTGATGCCTAAACATGCAATGTCTGAGAGCATGACCCAGATATGAAATTTCTGGGACATTGTAGAAAATGACGACTTTATCCAAGATTTATCAAAAATAATGTGCATGTATTCTACCTTTCAAGATTTTAAGATCAAACAAAATCTATAAAATAACTTTGATAATAATAAAAAATTTCTTGACAAAATAGTTCAGTTTGTTGTTAATTTCGATAAAAGACAAGAAAATACATATCTTTTTGTACACATTTTGTAAATCCAATATATTTACTGTCTATCATTACAGAATATGCTATATAACCAAAATAAGTTGTATGTGCGTTATACTTTAACTCTGACAATGAAGAACGGTTTTTATATGTCACTGAGCTTAACAGCCAGTAAAACAAACTTATCTATTTATGCACTTTACACAAAAATAAAGAAAGCTAAATGTACTTTCATGAAATTCTCAATATTTGATGGTACTATGGGTTATTATTTTCTGCTTCTAAGTTACTACTTTCAGTTTTCGATCTCGAACTCACATATTTGTCATTTAAATATAACTTTACAAATATAACTCCTTCTTGAAGGTGTAATTGGTTAAACACGTAAAGAAATAACAGTATTTTCTATCGTCTTACAATTTGGGTTGTGTTCTTTAAATTTATCCAAGGGGTAATTTATTCTGACAAGTTGACAGTTCTATAACATTTGATATTTACAAATAACTCAAATTGAAATATATATATGAATTATAAAAAAAATCTCGATTGCCAAAATTAAATTAACTTTCATACAAGTCTGTTTTTTTTTTTGCACTTATGTTCAACAAGTTGCCTTGTTGCATAAACAGCATGAAAATATCTAACTTTCCACTCTGGAATACCTCGCTCGTCATAACCACATTCCCAGTGGTAAGCTCATTAGAAGTACTATTATAGGTAATAACTGAATCTAACCATGAAATACTAACTGACACCGTTACCTGTACGAGACAGGTACTTCACCACTTCTTTTTTTTTTTGTTACTCTGTAATTGGATATGGTTTTTTTTTATACAACCACGCCTATATAATTATTGTCATAATTAGTGTCACGTTCGATTTATAGTCGGAATATGACGTAAACTCAAACAGAAAAATGCTATGGGTGCAATGCCAGATGACATCATCAGATAGCATATTCCTAACATTGCTCTTTTTTCATATTATTTTGTTACATTTATAGTTTTTGCTTATATAATTAATTATCAGTGAAGCTTTCTGTGATACCATGGAGAAAGATTACTATATCCAGTATTTACCAAAATAATGTGCATGTATCCAACCTTCCAAGATTTTAAGAACAAACAAAATCTGTAAAATAACTGTGATAAGAATATATGGTTATTTTCTTCCAAATTGTCTGATCTCTATAGTTTAGACATACAAGAACTATTGACAATGATATCAATGTTCGCTGTATTAATGATATAGTGGCTGGCCTCTTTGGTGATCTGCCACTGTATTGATGATATGGTGGCTGGCCTGTCTGGAGATCTGCCTCTGCATTGATGACATGTTGGCTGGTCTGTTTGTAGATCTTTCATTGCATTGATGACATGGTGGCTGGCCTCCTTGGAGATCTGCCACTGTATTTATGATATGGTGGCTGGCCTGTTTGGAGATCTGCCACTGCATTGATGACATGTTGGCTGGTCTGTTTGTAGATCTTTCATTGCATTGATGACATGGTGGCTAGCCTCCTTGGAGATCTGTCACTGTATTTATGACATGGTGGCTGGTCTCCTTGGAGATCTGTCACTGTATTTATGACATGGTGGCTGACCTGTTCAGAGATCTTCCACTGTATTGATGACATGGTGGCTGGCCTGTTTGGAGATATTTAACTGTATTAATGATATGGTGGCTGACCTGTTTGGAGATCTGCTACTGCATTGATGAAATGTTGGTTGGTCTGTTTGGAGATCTTTCATTGCACTGATGACATAGTGGCTGGCCTCCTTGGAGATCTGTCCCTGTATTGATAATATGGGGTGTGACCTCTTTGGAGATCTTTCACTGTATTGATGACATGGTGGCTGGCCTCCTTGGAGATCTGTCACTGTATTGATAATATGGGGTCTGATTTCTTTGGAGATATTTCACTGTATTGATGACATGGTGGCTGCATCAATGCAGTGAAAGATCTCTAAACAAGCCAGCCACCATGTAATCAATACAGTGAAAGATATCCAAAGAGGTACATGGTGGCTGGCATGTTTAGAGATCTTTCACTGTATTGATGACATGGTGGCTGGCCTGTTTGGAGGCATCTACTGTTTTGAACCATTTTCTGAAAAGTCATTATTTTAAAAATATTCTTTTAAAATTTTCGTAATCTATTTTTGGTTAAACCTCTTCATTGGAGCTTTTTTCCCCCAACGATTAGGATTCAACGACTACTTTCTGAGAACTAGGAAAGAATGGGATTAAAAATAGGTACACAGTCTTAGTAACCGTTTCTAATAATTGTATTTCATTAAAAATAGGTACACAGTCTTAGTAACCGTTTTTAATAATTGTATTTCATTAAAAATATGTGCATGCCATTTACGATAGTGCAATTTTACAATATTATTAGCAAAAGCCTGATTGTATTGTAACAGTTGTGTGTGCATTTCATTAAAGAGAGTAAAAAAGAAACTTTTGTATATATCATTGTATTTATTTAAAGTTCCATCTAAAAACACTGAAGAAATTAAAATTTTGTTGTTGTTGTAGATCTAATTCGAGTAAAAAGTATCTGTATATTTGTGTTCAATCCTTTAAGCTGTCATAGACTCACAGTCTGTTTATAGATTCGCTGTCTTTGCGTTAGACCGTGAAAAACAAACACAAGCATCTCATTAATCTAATAATAAATTATAGTTGTCAGAAAATAATAGAATCAGATCCATTGTATGTTTTTAACACTACATTCTCCATTCGTCCCAAGGTTTTTCTGAGAAGGAGAGTATATAATAATAGTATTTCAAGTACACTGCGTCCACAATACCCATACCAGAGCTCACCAGGCCCACAGGGATACAACAAAAACGTAGCAGTGGTCGGAACTCTATGTATCTATATAAGCCATTTGTTACTTGGTGTTACAGCTGTTATGGTGTGAACGTCGTTTGCTGGCGAAGCGTGATTATAATCAGTTACGTTTGTCAAATGACCCACCAGGCCCATTGTTTTGTTGTTGAGTTTTTTGTTTTAGGGGAGGGTTCAGCCTTATGAGCTCAGGTATTTAGCGAAACGCGTTGTATGGTAGAAATAGTATTGTACACGCTTCTTCTCGGGAAACCCCTGAGGGACCAAATGAAGAATGTAGTGTTCAAAAAACAATTGGACGGTTGCCATTATTTTATGACAAGAATAATTTATTATAATCATGCTTTGCCAAAATAAGACCATCATATTATAACAACACATTCACCTTGTCAAAGTACTGAACCCTGCAACAACACATTCACCTTGTCAAAGTACTGAACCCTGCAACAATACATTCACCTTGTCAAAGTACTGAACCCTGCAACAATACATTCACCTTGTCAAAGTACTGAACCCTGCAACAATACATTCACCTTGTCAAAGTACTGAACCCTGCAACAATACATTCACCTTGTCAAAGTACTGAACCCTGCAACAATACATTCACCTTGTTAAAGTACTGAACCCTGCAACAATACATTCACCTTGTCAAAGTACTTAACCCTGCAACAATACATTCACCTTGTCAAAGTACTGAACCCTGCAACAATACAAAGATGAATGTATTGTTGCAGGGTTCAGTACTTTGACAAGGTGAATGTATTGTTGCAGGGTTAAGTACTTTGACAAGGTGAAGTTAAAGTATTTAACCCTGCAAAAATACATTAACTTTATTAAAGTATTTAACCCTGCAACAATGCATTCACCTTGTTAAAGTATTTAACCCTGCAACAATGCATTAAACAAAAAGGTAAAAACAGCTACATATAAGCAATATTTTTTTTACTCTTGAAATGACTACAACACAATTAAAATTCCTCTTTCAACCAAAATGGCATTGCTTCAGTCAGTTTGTGTAATGTGTATATACACAAAACGTAACTCTAAACTTTTCATTTCTTCAGAGGCTATGAAAAATACGCAGAACCTGGTAAACGGCAACCTTTAATGTATATATATATATTAATAATACTTATCTGATGGCCTGAAAACATATAGAATATTATGAAACATTGAAAGGGTTGTTACAGTTTGCTTTTTCAGATATCTCAGTGGTACAGCACTGGTCCTGTTAGTTAGAGATCCTCGGTTCAAGTCCAGGTCTCGGAGTCTCTTTTCACTTAAAAACATAATAGATTAATTGCTTCAATCAGTTTATAATATCTGTAAACAACATTTAAAAGTTATCAGCTTCTAATTCTAGTTGTCTTTATTCTTTTAGGAGAAAAAATTGGGGTTCAGTTTGTCTCTCTTGTTAGTCTTTCTACAATCGAATTGTTTAATAAACTAAAACATAGAATTGAGATGATACTTTTAGGTTTTATTTTGCTGTCAATTAGACTAGACTATAGCATGTTTTTTCATGCCCCAAATATTAAGCACATGCTCCAAAAAACGTTCATCAATAAGCACGCTCCCAAAATGCAACATTTCCGGGCGAGATCGGCAAATTTCAATTTCGCAGCATACTATAACTCTTACCACCCACCAGCAGTGGCCACACAGTGTTATGTAACGAAAACATGAAAAGCGATATTGAATACATCACCATTAATAAAAACAAATCGTCGAATACATAATATCATATATATTTATTTTTTTCTTCTCTCTATTATTAGAGCTAACTTAAACAAAGAGAAGTCATCTTTGTACCATTTTTGGGTTTATTTATACTGTCAAAGGTCAAACTTTACTAAGGTCAAAGGTTACTAAGAATACAGAAATGAACCTTTAGGCCTGTTACTTTCGATAGTACTGAAAATAATTAATGTTTGTTTCAATCGTCTTTAGGTTTATATTAACAAAATGTTGAAATATAGTATGAAGTGTACAGGAAACACAAACAAGGACTTAAACGTTCGCTTAAGTATTGTCGTCAAAGATTTTGTTGCAACTGATCAATCCTGAAAAAAAAATTAATTTAAAATCAAAATGTAGGAAACTAAAGAACGTTTAAAACCTGTATTAGACATTAAGTACAATCTTTAAATATGATGCCTTATAGAGAGTTTTAGCTGATATTAAGTAATGTTCCTTTAAAAGTTGGTCCCGGCATGGCCAAGTGGTTAGGGTCTCAACTCCAAATCGGCGGGTCGCGGCTTCGAATCCCCGTCACACCAAACAAGCTCGC